ACTTCTCAGTTAACTAAAACATCTAGGATTGCCTGTCATCCAAGTCTTCATGCCAAAGTTAGTCCATTGAGAATTCACTAAGGACCTATAGAGAAGAGGCTGCCAGGTTCAAGTTGTTGAAGATATTGCCATATTAAAAACTCAGAGTTTAAAGGTAACAAATTTAGGTTCAATTTTGAGACTTCCCATCTGCCTGACCTTCAGAAAGTGATACAGTCTCTCAGTTCAATTCCTTAATCTGGAAAATACAGGATGACAACCACCTCAGGATTGTTGTAAAATTTAAGTGAGGTGGTATCTTTACAGAATTTAACATCTTGTGCTGATTATATCTGTCCTTGAACCAGAACAGCTCATGTGACAGGAGGGAAGGACAGCTCTGTCAACTGTCTCCATCACTTGACTACTGATTTTGTGAGCGCTATTGTGTACCTTCCTAGCTGACTGTTTCTCATATTCTTTACCACTAACTGCCCAACACCCCCACTTTCTCCAACTGATGCTTGGTGGATGACCTGGCTTATGCCTCGGCTGATGACTTAGTAAGTTGCTGATGTTGCAACCACCACACCTACCCTCCTGCTTGCCTGTGTTCTTATTACCACTTCATGTTTGTGGCTATATTCATAAATTCACCAATCTCTTTCTCTACCAATATAGAAACTCCTTAGGGACAGCATCTTCCTCTGTTTTGTTTATCACTGACTCTGGAGTACCTAGAACAGTGCTGGTACGTAGCGTATGCTCAATAAGTCTTTGCAGAACAAATTAACACTGTATGGCAGATGGCCAGCAAATGAAGTGATATTGTAATTAGTTTGTTTCCCTAGATTCCAACAGTTCAGTGGGGAAGACAGTCACTACCCCAAAACAAAACTTGTGGAGCTCTGTCTTGCCATTTCAAAGAAACAAAGTGAAAACAGAAATGAGATATAATGGATTTTAAATTAGTATACCCATTTTTTCAAAGAAGATTTATATATTTATGCACACAGAACTGAGGTACAGACCCGAGGTGCAGGAGTGATGAGAGGATTCACCACAGTCAGAATGGGGAGCAGGGTAGGCAGATCAATGAGGGGAGCAGTGGGTGAGACAGGAGATATCTGCTGCACCCTGTGGGTCGCCCCCTGGGTGGGGATTGGACTCTCACTGAAGCAGTTGTGGTAGCTTACAATGCTGCGTCCTAACCAGTTGCACCACCAGGGAGGCTCAGTATTGCCCCCTGCCCCCACCTTTCTTTTTGGTATGTAAATATCTAAATGTGGAGGAATTAGAAAAATAGCTAACTTTATAGCTATATTTAACTTTGTTAAATATGAAGCCAGCATATAAAGCAATCCAAGTTTACCTCTAGAAATGGATAGTTTTCTAAACTTATAAGTTCTAAATTTGTTGTCCAACTGCCAATGTTTTAATATTTATTCCTGAGCTGCAAGGGAAATTAAGCTAACTAGTGAGAAATGGAGGCTTTCACTCATTGAAAAAAGTTCATTCTTCTTTTACCCTGCTTGAACAGAGAGTTGGCCCAGTGGGAAATTGGAAGGGAATATACCTGGCTTTGTGTTGGGAAAACCAAAGGTTTAGAACAGGACCTCTCAGGGGGCTTGTCAGTCACTTCAGGGTTTGTCTCCTTTCACTGTTGCCTAATAATTTGAACTTCACCAACAATAGACTAATTGCAGTTTCCTAAACTCGCTCAGTTATTTTCTTATCTCTGCTTTTCTACATGGTTTCCCTCTTTCCTTCCTTTCTTTTTTATTGCCAGATCACCTTGAACACATCCAATCTTGTCTGATCTCAGAAAATGTCCTTACTTTCCTATCTTTGCCTGGAAAACATGTTTTTCAAGATCTAGCACAAGCACTGCCTCCCTCCCAAGAAATGTTCCCCCATCTCTAGATTCCTGACTCTATGTCATCATGAACCTTCCTCGCCTGATTCAATGTGCTTAAAATAATCTATTACACATTTTTGTTCTCATGGCTAATGTCCCTCCTGGACACATATCTATGTCTCTTTTTTTTAACTTAGGATTTCCTTACAGTTTCTGACACAACATAGGTGCCTGATATATGTGAGGTTAAACAGAAAATTTTGCAGGAATGATTATTATTCATATTATTATTCCTTCCAGCTGTGACTGTACCATGACAGGAGCAATTTTTTTTTTTTTTGGCAGATTATCATTTGTCTTTTCATTTTTGAATTCACCATCTAGCACCCAAGGAAGATTAGGGAAAAGTGGCCTGCATCTTGACACCAGATTTTAAAAGGCTCACAACTCTGGTATGAAAATCAAAATCCTGTCATTACACATGTAAATGAGTTGTTGTTGCTTTTACATTTTCTATGGTATAAATGTTAGAAAATATGTAAGTTTAGTGAAATCAGGTGTGAAATTCTACAGGCAAAAAGCCGTGGAGCCAATGTTCAAAAAAAGCCCATTCGTTTTTCTTTAACCAACCAGCTGCACAGCTTGAGAATATATTTTTAAAATGTGACCTTGTTTTAAACCATTAAAATATTTTCCAGTGTCTAAACAGCAGTCATTGCTCCTTACATTATTCATGATTACAGCCTGTCAGTGTGACCATTTTTTTCCATTACTTAACTGAATGTAGTATCATTTCCATTTTGCTCCTGCCTGATAGTACTAAGAAATGTATACTGGAAAACTGCAGTCTTCAAGAGATACTAACAGAGGGGATGGCCACAGCCACTTCAATGCCTAAAAGCTTAAGCTGTAGTAATACAACGTTGGCTTTCATTCCATAAAGTAATCAAAAGAAGAACTTGAAGGAAATTAAAGTAAAATCCAGAAGGATTACAAATTTAAGGCAGAGTTACAAATAAAGATATTTTTAGTAAACTAAATAAAAATATTAATATATTCATTATACTGTTATTTGACCCAGACAATTGCTACTCAGTTATGTAACTAGAGATTCTTTGAAGAGTGTAGCAAGGCACTCACTGTGCACTTTGGGGAAGTAGGAAAAACAGCTCTCTGGGGATATTCATTTGGATTCCACCCACTAGCTGCACTAGATAAAGAGGAAAATGAATTCCGGGTAGTTTAGACAGAAAGTACTAGAGCAAAATCTTGTCAACAGTCAGTACTGTTCGACTATAGGATTCCAAGATTCTAATTTGACTGGCCTTCTGCTTGAAAAGTATCAATATCATATTCTACTGATAGAAACATCTCCACGCTCCAGAAACTACTGATAGTCTAGGATTTAAACTCATACAGAATTATTTTAAATAGTGCTGCAATAAACACAGGCTTGGAAACAATCTAAATGCGCCAAAACAGACAAAGGGATCAGGTGGTGCTCTATGGAATACTACTCAACAATGAAAACGGTAAACTCATTCTATCTGCAGCAAAATGGATGTACCTAAGTAAAATAATTCAGAAGGAGAAAGATAAATACTGGGTGGTTTCACTTTCACGTGGAATACAGACAAATGAAAAGGTCATTTGGACAGACCTTGAAAGCTGACCATGGATCTGAGGCATCGAGCAGGGCAGAGAGAGTGGTGAAAACAGGAGGGTGAAGAGTACCTTAGACTAAGCTACCCAAGGAAATGTGGTGTGCTAGGAGCAAAAGGGAGAGGGGAGCTAATAAATGATTCTTGGTGCATTGGTGGTGGGAGTGGTAAAATAACATAAATGTAAAGGTGAAAGCCTGTGTTGTGATGTAAGCCAACATGTCAATATCTATAACTTTAATATTAATAATTTAAGAAAAATAAAAAATCATGGAGAATTACCTCATGTACTTGAGAATTTCACATTTGAAAGGGTAAGGTAAACTCTCTACCTTGTTATATGAACCAGAATTTCTAGAAGAAACTTATACAGTTCAACAGGGATGGTGTGTTGCTCAGAAACTTCAGGAAACTTGTCCTATTAGGATGTTTATAGAAGTCAAGAATCTAGTAAATACATGAAAGTCATCATGTGTTTCAGAAATTGCCTTTGACCCACAAAATCTCATATGATAAATCTTCAAAATACAGACAGCAAACTAGTCACACTTCATGCTGGTCCCAGTGCCTCTGCTTGAGCTTTACTATTGTATTCTTAAAAAACATATTTAAAAGATAACTTTCTACATTATAAAGTGTCTATTTTATTCTGCTTCTAGGTAGAAGAAAAATCTTTTTCACTGAATGCATCTATTACAGATTTTCTGAACTTTTTTTTTTAATGTGGTCAGAATCTTCCAAGTCCCATATAATTTTCCCCAAGTAAATGTATATGTGCAAACACACACACACACACACACACACAATCACTGAGGCACAATTGATGCTGCTTAGATCACTTCATGCGTTTATGTATCACATCATTTTATCTTTGGAAACCAGATAAAGAATTCCTACTGTTGACTTGTGAGTTGTTCTGGCCATGTATAAATTTAGTAAGAATGGCAAGTTGCTCATCTGTTCATCCAGCTCCTTTGTAGCCAACACTTACTAAATATCCACAGAGGGTTTAGTGTTAGATACTAATTTGTTGTACTTTTTTTTTTTTGCTAGTTATTTGGATGATGTTAAGAATTATTCTTTCTTTCTTCATATCTACCTAGGTAATCAGTGTTGTTAAATTATTAAGCACTTCACGTAAGTCATAAAGAGATTTTAACCAGAGTACAAAGGTTTGAATTTACTTTTGTGCAGATTTCTGGAAGAAATAGACAGTCCTCCCTGGTGGCATAAGGGGTTAAAGTGCAGCACTCTGAAGCTCTCCACAGTCACTGCAGCACGAGTTCGATCCCTAGCCAGAGCGGTGACCCACATGGTGCAGCAGACCTCTCCTGATGTACCCGCTGCTTCCCTGAACAGTGTATTTCAGTACAACTGCCTGTTCTCCTCCCCACTCTGTCTCTGGTGAGTCCTCTCACCCCCAACCCTTTGGCTTGCATCCAGTTCTTGTATGCATAAATAATTCTTTATTAAAAAAAAAAGGAAGACCATGATAAAGTTACCTGGCAAAAACAATTCTTTTTGGAGGTTTTCTCTGGCCTTCTGTGAGAAGCATCTCTTCTTCAGCCAACTGGCTTCAAATTCACTATAGTGCTCATTTGGCCATGTGACATAAACCTTATAATATAGAAAGAAAGTGTCATTTTTATGATTCTGGATACGTTGGTTCTTCGCTCTTGCTCTGTTTCTGACTGTCATTTTAAAATGATCAAGGAATACGATAGCTCTTGCTATTTTTGTTTTGTAAACTATATACTCACAGACATATAATAACCTTTGGTAGCCACAAAACTAAAAGTCAGCAAAATAAATCTGCAGTCTGAGGCCTTTCACTATTACACAAGAACTGTAACCTGACTAGCTCTGAAGTTCTTATTCTATTGCCTTTAACCTATGTCTCCCAAAATTTCTGTCTTGGATATCAATTAGGATTGCTGCCCTGAGAGTACTGGAAGGGGGGGGTCCATCTGATAGGCACACATTCCAGTGTGAATGACGCTAGAACATTGGTGGTGGGTATGGAGAGGCTTATACTCTTACTGGGGTGTGAAGATGTGCTCCCAACAAATATACAGTATGATAAACCAGTGGCAAATCTATACAAATTTAGTTTAAAAATTCTGATAAATATATAGAAATAGTAATTTACTATTGATGATAGTAATTTATATAGAGAGAAATCGCAATTTACTATTGATGATGATGGGAGGCAGATAATGATTAAAAATAACACCATTTTCAGTGTATACTGGACAAGTAACACCTTAAACATAACTCATTTTGTCCTTTTATAACTCCAGGGAGAAAGTACTATTCATGGTCATTTTTTTTTTTTTCTGGCCAGGAATGTTTTCTGGCCAAGAACAGATCACATTTCTACAGTCACGGACTTAGTAAGCAGTGACCCGGGGAGCAGCATGCTTGTACTAGAGCTGAGATGCAAGGAGGGAGCCCATAATCTTGTTGGTCACATTTCCTCTTCTGAGAACTGGCTTAATAAATTTGAATGAGAGAAGCCAGGGTGGTGGCTATTTCTGTGTGTGGTCTTCAGAGTTATGTTCTGGGGACTCTCCAGACAAGCCTGTGTGTATACTCACGGATTGACTAAAATATGTTGATCAGCACTAGTTTTGAGAGCTCACTGTATGCCAGACCCTATGGTAAACTTCCATGCATAGCATGGTATTTCATTGACTCCTCACACCATCTTCAAGAACAAGTTCTGGGAGTACCCCTCTTCTATGTGTGAATAAACTAAGACCCAGAAGCATTCCTTTCATTACTAAAATAGTTTAATTCAACATTACCACTCACTGAAAGAATAATGAACTTGTAAATTTTATTAAAAACAGCAGTATTAGTGGGCCCTCCCAGTGACACAACAGGTAAGGATGCAGCACTGCAAACCGGCCACAGCCGCTTCAATACGGGTTAGATCCCAGCCCTGGAGGTGACCCACATGGCGCAGCAGATCTCTCCTGTCTCCTCCACTGCTCCCCTCAGCAGTGTACTTCATCAATCTGCCTTTTCTGCTCCCCACTCTGTCTCTGGTGAATCCTCTCACCGCCCCTGCACCTCTGGCTTATACCCCAGTTCTGTATGCATAAATAAATAAATCTTCAAAAACAAAACAAACAAACAAACAAAAAAACCCAGCAGTATTAGTAATAAAAAAAATAGCAGAAGCTTCCATTTACTTTCTTGAATACAGCACCTTAGACCGCCCAGCCATCTTGACTTGCTAGAAGCTTCCATTTACTTTCCATGTTTACTTTGTACCAGACACCAATGAACATGATTATATATGATCAAGTGAAAAGGAATTCATTATTTACATTATTCTAGGCCAGTGTCTTTAATTTGGGAGTAAAGGGAGAGACAATGTAGATATATTTACCTTTTTACTGTCAAACGTCAAGCTTTTAATGCCAATGTTCACATCAAGGGCTTCAATGAGGAGTTTCCTTGCTTTTGCAGAATCCAAGTAGCAATAAGTGCACTGGCAATTGTCTCTGAGCCAAACAGCAGGGTAGAGAGACTCTATACCATCATCCCAGAGGATTTGCATCAAATGATCCCCATCCAGCACTTCAGCCTTCTGGATGGCACAGTGCATGTTGCTGGTCCTTGGGGTAAACCTTGTCAGTGGCCTGTTAGGACAAATCAGTGTTAAAACAAAGCTCAGGCAGATAGTATCTGACCTTAACCTCTGAATGTGGGCAATTCAAGTGGACTCTGGCTTCTGCTGTTCTCTCAGCTGCCAGTTTGTGGTTTGACTTATCAAGGAGGGACCTTTGTTCTGGTGAGAGTATTTCATATGCTGTGAACAGAATCAGAGTGACTAAAAGTAAATAAGATAGATGTGCTGAGTCAAGATTCAGATGAAAAGAACACTTTGTTTCTCTCCCCGAAATTTTAGATAATAGGTTCAGAACCAATGGCATATATGTTTACATAAAACTTCTAGAATTTTTTTAAAGGAGTAAATGCATCACAAGTTGAATGTATAATTTTCATTCTTGTTCTCTTTTAACTAATGCCCATTAAAAACACATTCCTGTTGAGAGAAAAAATGCTCCTATGACTTTAAATAAGTAGCCTTGTTCTAGTGAGGTAAATACCTTGGTAGTGAGCATAGTGCAGAACATATCTCCGTAGTAGTAAAAATACTTCTTACATAATTTGATTAGGGACAAGCAAACTACCTACTGCTTATGCATAGGCCAGTGTGGGTAACCTATTTTTGTGCAGCCCATGAGGTTAGAGTTAGTGTTTACATTCTTACTTTGGTTTTAATGGTTTAAACTTGAGAATTTGGAAGAATAATGATTACTGCTTATGAGATCTTTGGAAAGAGCGAATGGTTTGATTGTAAATAAAATTTGATCTTACTTATATTTATGGTAAGTTTGGAACCATAGTAATGCTGTAGAAGTAGTAATAGTTTACATTTACCAAGTTAAGGTGATACAAAGTCTTCTTCATTCATTTCACTGTTCTAAGGGTTTATGTACAGTAGCTCACTGAATTTTTATTACAATCCAATGATTATAATAGAAACTCTACTGTAATTACCCAAATAAGCAGCAGAAAGAAGAAACTAGAAATCTCAGCATACAGATGATAGTAGAAAACATCTTAAGTTCTTCAAGGGAGTTAGACAAGCAATTAAAAAATAGCTTCATTCTCATTAATTTTTAACTTCAGACTTCCCTATGTGTCAGTGTATTGTCCAAATTAGCTCACTTTTTATATCAAATTTTATTGATTAATCACTCACAAAATGATCTAGCCTGGGGAGTAGATTTTACACCTTGTGCACATCTCCTCTAACCCTCCACCAAGGCTCCAGGGCTACCACGGCGTTACACTAGCCCCTTGCACCCACTCTATCCTCCTTTCCCTGTTCCCACTGTCTGGTAACCACCATGTTTTCATGGAGTCTAAGATCTACTCATTCTCAATACTGTGTTCATGAATGGGTTTGAACATGGTTCAGTTGAAAGGTTTTTTATATAACTTGCAATTGAGACTTTGACTCTTCACGGCCACTTGCTTGAGGGTGCATTTCCAGCAGGCAAAACATTGTTCCTGGACTGGGAGATGTTGCTGTTCCCACAAGCCACTTACTGTCAAAGTGACCCTACCTACAGACAGCTGCACCAACAAACACTAGTTACACCCCAGTTTCCCATTTTAATCTTCTCTCTTTTTCCTTCCATTTTCTTTTTCATTTTTAGCCCTTCTTCATCTAGCAGATTTGAACTGGAGAGGGAAAAGTACATTTTCAGCTTGTAGGCCAAACTTTCCCAGAACCCTCCTGGCCAAAAGGATGTTCTGAAGAGGGTATTCCATGGCAGAAGGTGATATATGGACCAGGTGGATGGGAGATTCCTGGCACATGGAGTGTGGAAGAACTGGAAAGACTTGGTGTTGCTAAAGCTGCACTGTTTCGGTATCTAGGAAGGAACTTTGTGTATCTTTTCTACTCTTCACAATCCCTTTCTCAGTTCTATGATAAATGAGAATGGAAATCTTAAAAAAAAAAAAACAACATGGTGCAATAGGAAAATATTTTTCCTTTTTCTTTTTTGGGGGGGGGTTATTGGGGAAAATTGTGATGAATATTTAAAAAAATCAAGTATCATCAGTATTTAAAAGCCAAATAATTGCTTATTCATGACTATGATTTTATTGAAATCTGATTTTCAATTTAGCTCCCTTGTTAAAACTGCATCCTGTTGGAGTCCTATAGTTATTTAGTTATTTGATAAATCATTGTGTTTCTTTGAAGAAAAGAAAAAATGCATATGTATGATTAGTGGGAACTCTTGCAGAATTTAAAACACCTATAAAATTAAATTGTTATTTATTTTACACCTTTATACTTAATTATTTTGCATATCTTAAATTATAATTATACTTTTGTTGGTGAAATATCAGATTGGTTTTAGTGTTGGGAGTAACTTTCCTGTCCAGAAGGCAAATCTTGAATTTGGGGAGCTTTCTATCTGATGGGATACATTTCTTTTAATTTCATCCCATCACTTGATTATATAGGCTTTATTTTGTTTTCTCCTTCTTAACTCACCATTTTTGCCTCCTTCAGAATTAAGGTAGTCTGTTTAGGGTTCCTGTTTAGTACAATTCAATCGTCTTCAATTGTTAGCTTTAGAGATTATCCTGTCTCAGCAATGGGTGTGTTTTTTGTCTTTTCCATACTGTTTAAAATGGTATCAGCTGGTTTTTCTAGCATTATTTGGAAAATCAAGAAAGTAACTCTGAACGTTATACAGTGACAGTGGAATTAAAAAGAATTTAGGATTAGAACTCTGAGAAGATGGAAAGAAACTTATAATATCAAGGTTCAGCACTTCTATCAAATATGAAAGGAAAATCAAGCTTGGAGAGATTGGGCATGACTTACCAAGCCCACTTTGCTGGTAAGGGAGAGAGGCCACCTAAGCCTAGATTTGGCAGCCCAGTGTACACATACAGTTAGGATATTTTCTAGTTTTTGATAAAAGAGGTTACAAAAACCCATCAACTTCTAGTTACAACTAATCTGAATCATGGATTGCCAGGAAGTTAATGTAGAAACTTCAAAGTTACTATACAGAAAGTTAAAGTTGTTGTAAATTAACAATATATACCAGAGAAGGTTGACTCATATACTGGTGTTATTCACTTCCCAAAAGAAAAGACTTCCATTTTCTTACTGGTTTTGTTATGTATGTACTTATTTATTTATTTTTGGTAGGAAGGTCAGAATAAAAGGGCTCATGTTATCAAATATTAGTTTCAGTTAATTTCCATCTCTCTTTCTTAGGTAGGTCATCAGGCCTGCTATTATACAACAGGATAATCTATTGTGTTTTGCCTCCAAAAAGTGCAAGAAATATACAAATTTTATCAGTAGGGTGTCTGCACAAAGCCACTGATTCAACACTTCATATGTCCTAGTCAATATACTAATGCTTTGTATTTCATTAACCTTATTTCACACTCCAGAAAATCCTATGACATGGTAAACATTACTTCCATTTTACAGATAATCTTGTACTGGGCAGGTCAAGTAATTGATTTGAAAGAAGAGTAAATAGGAATTTTAACCACTACATAGTACCATATCATGGAGAATCTTTTACTGAATATTTTTCCAGGCAATCATTTAACTTACCAAAAGTATACTGTTACAAGAGTAGTTAAATCTCAAAACTGCTTGTTATAAGTTGATCTCATCATCTTATATGCATATCATCCTTGGAAAAAGGAAGACAGGAAGAAATTTTCTAGATGTCACACCATAAAGGTTTATAGTAATATTATTATTCTTTTACAGATCAATTTTTAAATCTCTTAAAAGTTAATTAATTTCCACTGGTAGGGTAGATGCTGACCAGACTATTTTTGCAGTATCTGAACTGTAATATCCCCTGAATACGTTTGCACTCTATTCACTATTACACTTGCTACCTAAGGCCCTTCAACAGGTGTTTCTTTAACTTCGTTTAATAAGTGGCTGAGATCTTTAATAACACATGTATATATTCTACAAAAATAATGAATACTATGAAAGCATTGGAAAACCTTTCTATTCTCTTAAATAGGTTCATCATTCTGCCTGCTATCTTGTTTAAAGTGTCACATTTTGCTTAAACACTGTATTTGCACAACTTGTAGGAAAGGAAAAACTTATAGAAAAGGAAAAGTTAATATTCACCCTGGTGCAGTCACTACATGCAGACTGGTATTCAAATTATCAAGGCATTTAATCATTCAAAGATGTAATGCAGAATAATGGGTTCAGATTTAGGATAATTTCTATAATCTTTGAATAAGATATCTATTTATTATGAGAAGTTCTAGGTTTTCAATTAAGTCAATTCAAATACCTGTCAGAGCTTCTCCAGCTACATTCAAAGATCAAAACAACTGAAAACATGCACAATGAACTTAATTGATCTGTATTCTAAGGAAACATTACTTTTCACTTTTGGGGCTTAACCAACAGTCAGAATAGTCTATGCAGTCACTTTTGCTTGAGCTGGGTTGTGGATTATTCAGTAAACATTTCCAAAACCCGGTCCGAACACTCCTTACCCACCCTCCATTAGATAGTCTCCTCTCTGTTCCTTCTACAAGCTTTCTGGATTGGCTTAAGGACTGCAAAGTAATTTGACAACCAGACTAAGCCAAACATAATTGGGGAAGGGAAACCGCCAAGAAGCAATAGGATCCACTACTTCCCCAAATCATGCCCATTCCATTGCCTGATGGCACATCCCCATCATAGCCCACATGGCTGCAGGAGACCTGACTGCCCCTGCCCTGCCCCTGATCCCTCTGCTCCTTGCACCCAACCCATAAACCTGCATCTATAAGCTCTTCATCAAGGGAGAGACGAGCTACATCATACCTGTTCTCAGATGTGCCAAACCACGCAATATTTACCAACAGAAGAAGAACATCAACTTTGATCCTCAATGTGCTTTGGTGAGGGAGCTTCCTGGTGCCAGTCACATTCCAGATTGATCTGCCCCTGGTTTTCATACATCTGCTGTAGCACTGTTACGACATTTCTCGGAGGCCTTCTCTTGCAAAGCTGTCCTGCCCTCAGACAGAGCTGAGGTTTGCAAATGAGGA